GGATTTCAAGCTAAGCGACTTAAATTAGTAAGCTATAACGCAAGCAGTGTATTGAGGATTTCTAGCTAAGCACCTTTCAATTAGTAAGCTGTCACAAGCAGTGTATGTTAATTGTTTTATAGCACGTGAACATGTGGACATTAAACTTAGGTTTCAACGGGGCTCTGTGCCATTGGATTGATGCCACGGCTGCACGCGGAAATCAGATCTCAACAACCTCATGGGGTGACGTTGTAGGGGATGGTGGTGTTTGTGGCATCTACTGTGTTTGCTGGGATTCTCTGGATCATTCTAGCATTCGGTGGCAGCAGGGAATTGTCGCACATACCCCTTCAAAGGGCCTCTATAATTTGCGGAATTTTTAAAACACGGATAGGATTGTATGGGCAACAAAATTGTGGACATAGTGAGTTCTGCAGAATTGTTTGTTTGATTTATATTAAAGGAAAACTTATGAATAAAAAAATACATACTCAAATTAACATTAAAACTGTTGAAAAAAATTAACAATAAAACACAGGTAAGATTAGGTTGATATTTAAACTTCTTATGGTTTTTGCCTTATTCTGCGTGAAAGAAATCTTTAAAAGAGGTTTCATTGAGTGGATTGTAAAGTTCATTTATTCTTCCCACGAAACCCATACCAACAGAAAAATGGAGGTGTGAACCCCCCTCCCCCCCCCCCACCACCCCGTGCTTTCGAGTATTATCTCGGTACCGGGTTCCATCTCTGGTTCAGGCTATGGCCTTGGAGTAATCATTTCCGAGTTTTAGACGTTCATGTCTTCATTGGTGATGAGTAAAGGTTTTGAGTGCGGACATTTTCATCAGCTCGACTTGCATTTCATCTTTCTTTGGTTGTGGATCGAATAGTTTAGACATGACATGAACATGGGTGGGTGGTTGTAACCATGAGGTCAATGGTTTGTCCTTTTCCTTCATGGCCGTTTCTTGTCTCAATTTAGCTTTGTGAGTATAATGGTTGTGTGCATCCTCTATGTACTTTCAATGTGTTGATGTAGTGGACGGATCTTATACCATTCTATCAACTCTACACATCGATAAAATAATCCATTTCTGAGAAGCAACCACTGGTTGCTTGGTTATGAGGCAGTGTGACCCCCACACAACCAGGGATCAAATTTTGGGTTGATACAAGATGCGACCATGGTCACTTCGTCAATCACGAAGCTCTGCAACTTCGACCTGGTTTCAGAAGGCATTGTGTGAGTGCATGTGTGTGGTGGTGTGAGTGTTTGAAATTTAGTGTATTCCATGTAGTAGTGGTAGTGTAGGATAAAAATCATTCATGTTTACATTTAATTTATGTTACTAGGTCACAAATAATCGAATAAACATTTTTATCATATCATGACAAACTGAAAAGACAAACTAATACTATCAAATACAAATATAAACAAATAGTATACCTGTAGATGGATTAGCTTTTTCGTTTTTCAATTGGTTTATCGTACCTATGAAGTTCGTGCATGGTATAACATGGTAAATTAATGGTTCAAGTCTTTATTTATTTTCAAGAAATTCTACCTTTTATTTTTGGTGATGAAAACCATGAGTTGACCTTTTGAATACTCAACTACTACCTCCTTTCCGGTTTATAGGGCTCATCTCAAAATTTTCAGTTTTTCGGTTTTATAAGTTACAATTTTGTTACTTTTCATCACATCTTCAGATTTTAAGGTGCAATAAATATCCGCATGCAAGAATTATGATGAAACTCATCAATGCATGTCAAGCTTCTTTGTCGTTTATTGGCTAGACATGCATGCATTGTAATTAATGCATTGGTAAACATATATTTTTAGAAAAAATGCACATTAACTGAGTAATTTTGCAAACTACAAAAAATATTCGACTACTCACCATCTACTTTGGTTGGTTAGATTTTTGAATTGAGCCGTATAAACCGGAACAGAGGGAGTAAGAGCTTAGTAAACAAGTATACTACCTCGAGTTGCCAGTGCACTTGGTACGCACCACAAAATTACTACTCGTCGAAGTTTGGGTTGCAAGGGCACATGTGTCAGGCTAGGCACATGGCAGCAACTAAGTTTGAGTAGTGGAGTTTGGACCATACAGTGATGTGATCAAACGGCACATTTCTTTAGGAGCGAAAGAAAAAGAACAACGGCATAGCGTCCGCTTGTGATGTTCACTCTTCAACTACTTTAATTAGGTGCTACTCCATCCATAGAACATAAAGTGACATGTTGCCGCACCCATCCATAAGATATAGCACTCTTACCGGGCCTGTCAGACTTACGTTGGTTTTAGGTGTTACACAAAAACATATCATTAGATTCATATTCGAATGAAGTTTTTAAATATATATTTACTTTTTGCGGCATATACGACATATTCTATTACTAAGCGCTTGGAATCAGTGACTCGTTTTCCAGGAGCTTGTCGCGACAAGGCAAGCTTGGAGCATAGCATACTTCCGGTCACAATAGTCATGTATTGAGTGAAAAAAATGAATTTGAATTTGAATTTTTGGATGAAGGTTCTAGTGATAAGTAAAATCACGAAGCGCTTAATGGGCGGGCGTGTGAAGGTCACTGGCAGGAACGGCGCTCGGCTTGTTGGTGTTTCTCTATGTGTCACCCATGGTCACTGGGGTTGGACGTGACTTAACGGTTGATCATACAAGATGCAAAAACAAATTCAGCAAACTCCAAATTTTCTCATATCAGCGTAACCAAGGATCAAGAGCACATAGTTTTTTGACCCGTGAAGCATCAGCCGATTCACTGTCTTTTTTTAGGTGGAACAAGCATTCTATTATCACTCTGGCTCAACAAACATGTTGGCTTCAATGTATCTTACATCAGGTGGCAGGTTTGTTATAGTTAACAAGATTGTAGTCGTAGTAGGTCAAGTGTGTCCTAGATAGTTCTTCTTTCTTTTCTTTTTGCGAAAAACCGCTCAGGTTTATTAGCAACACCAGCAGTAAACAATCCCAACAAAGTAGGAAATTACAACAAGGTCCAAAGGGAGTCAACCGCCTCCATCTTTTAGAACGGGCCTGTGACGCACCTCCGTTGCGGCTTCATTGCCGGAGCCAACATGTCCTTGTTGGTTGCAGATGGGATGTCGCCGGTCCCCGATCCTGTTAGATCATCGCCGTGGAAGAAAGAATCGTCCATGCTGGAAGTGCTACAAATCCAGAAGAGCTCCACCCCTGCCCAAGCGTATCACACCCCCGGCAGAGGCATCCTAACCTCGCCAGCCCCATGATATGGCAGGAAGCTACACTGAGGATCCGACGATTCCATCTAGATCGATGAAGTTGCAGTCAATCGGATCCTAGGAAAAGAAGTCGATGTCGCATCGCCGCCATCCACCAAGCATTGAGGCCGCGAGAGATAAATCTCGCCGTTGGGCATAAGTAGCAGGAAGATCGAGCTGCGAGATTCTTCGTGCCGCCACGAGAGACGCCGTGGTGAAGGTGGATCCGCTGCAATTTATTCTGACGCAGCGTCGTCGCCACCACCCAAACGGCGCCTAGAAACCTAACCCTAACACTATCCACAAGCTGGAGGCAGAGAACCATGGTTCCCCCACCCTCACGCTACTGGCGGCGAACGGTTGGGAGAGGGACCACCGCCCTCGCCGGCTGGACAGGAGGGATGCAACCGCTTGCAGTTTCGCCTCACACAAGAAGGTTTAGGAATATGAATTGGGCACGACAGCCGCTAACACTTGCATCTATTTTTTCTGGAATTCGATAGCAGTGTCTTTGATAGTTTCATTGTTTAGATTCTGTTTAGGAAAGATTTCACGTGAGCAAGCCGGACGAGGTGCTTGTACCAAGTCGGGTTCGCGTGGTGTTGGTTACCGAGTCGGTAACGTGTTGGATGTGGTGTCCCTATATCCCTTTATATATTTGAGCAAATAAATGAAAAGGTGCAAGGTCACACACTATTAATCATGGATGCACGTGCATAAAGGAAAATGAAGGATGGTCCTTAATGGATACTCTGATAACAACGTGATTGGTGATGTAGATGACATCGGGTATAGTATTCTACCTTGGCCCGAACGCCATCAGCTGAAATTCTGAGAAGCAAAGGGTAATGGCACTGTCATCTTGCGAGCCAGAATACATAGCGGCAAACATAGTGGCTTGCAGTTTCATTGTTTATATTCTATTAAAGGAAGATTTCACGTGAGTAAACCGGACGAGGTGCTTGCACCGAGTAGGGGTCGCACCGTGTTGGTTGCGGAGTCGGTAACGTGTTGGACGTGACGTCCCTATATCTCTTTATATACTAGAGCAAATGAACAAAAAGGTGCAAGGTCACGCACAGCAAAAATCTGTCCTCTGATCTGTTTTTCAGTGTCGCCCAGCCCGCGAGAATTGGCCGAGGCTTTCCGTCGAAAGAGAAGGATCGATTCGATCAAGCTAGCTCTACCAGGCTCGTACGTACGTGAGGCTAGCTAGCCGGCTAGACGTACGAGCATGTGCTAGGCACTGTTGTCAATTAAGCTGTGTGCTTGCCTGCTTCCTTGGAAGCTAGCTTGGCACGCACTTCGGTACACAACTCCCGGTGATTTGATCTAGAGTTCTTAAAAAAAATCTACAATTGGTATTTATAGGCTCGACGATCTACGATGGTGAACAATAAAGTTGAGACAACACGTCCGACAACGGTGGTTTCAAGGCAAACAAGTCGGGCAACGGCGGCTGCAAGGTGAATAAGAACGACTACAAGGTGAAGAAGGTGGTAAATCACCGACTAGTGCTGGAGGAATGAGTGGTTCAAATGTACTGTCCATTTCATCATCCCCATCGAGTACCCGATGCTGGCCGATGTGAACTACGACGTATGGGCAGTGAAGATGAAAATTATTTTCCAAACCCTTCAAGTGTGGTAGGGAATCACGGATGACGACGTCGACGAGGAGTGCGAAGAAGCCTACATCCCTCAACACTTGTATCCCTTCTCGAGCTGCTGCGACATTAAGTGCATCGCCTCTTAGACCAGCAGCGTCAACACCGCCATCCATGACAAAAACACTCGCGCAAGCCCCTCCGGGCATCTGTCTAGCTTCAGGCAATGCTGAACTACATTCAACTTTGTCAACGACAAAACGACTTGAATCATATGAAGCATGATCATTCCCTGCTGCACCACCATCAAGCGTAACTGACACAACCTCATGACAATCAAAGTCGGCTTGCTTGCCTTTGGAAAGGTCAACGCAAAGACTTGCTGCACAAGCTCTGGCTCATCAGATTTGCCGCATTCACCTAGGGCTGGGGGCTGAACTGGTGCGGAAATTATCTCCATAAGGTCAACACTGTCATCAACACCCTCACAACCCTCATCAGAATCACCGCCCAAACGATCATCATCCATGACATCGCCGTCACTATAACCATGCGGTGGAGATTCGGCAGTGGGCTCTGGCTTCTCATCTTCTTCACCATCCGGTGCGTTAACACTACCCTGTGAAAAACACATGCATGGAGTTGGAAAAAGTTAGTAGTTAGCTCTCTGTTACAAGATACTCCCTCCGTCCCATAATGTAAGACTTTTTTGACACTAGTTATGGGACGAATGGAGTAGTTAACAAACATACCAAAAAAAGAAAAAACATAAAAAAAGTATTGCCTCACCTCCTCGCCTGGCTGCCCGATAGCATCTTCACCGTGAACAGGCTGAGACACATCATCCTTCTGCTTGCTAATCTGACTCACAATAATACGAGCATCATTTTCAAAACCTTTACATATGGCATCGTGTTCCCTATTCAACTCGTTGAAAGCAGTATGAATATATGATGTCGCGCTCTGCAGACTATCAATGTTAGCAACATCACACTCCGTAGCCTCCTTCATTGCTTGTTCACTTGGTCCATGACCTTCAGGAAAAATGCTAGCAATATAGCCCAGGCGATCAGAAGTCGTGGAAACCTCAGCAGCTAACTCATTCACTTTCCCTATGAAACCATCAATCTTGGCAAAACACCATCAACTTTCATGGCTTTACTGGGTTTTGGTACTTTGAAAGCTTGATTGCAATCGGGTTGCTACCAGGCTCGTGCTATACATGCAACTTTGGCGCGTGAGTACAAATAGGGACAGGCGTATGAGGGAAAGCACGCCCGTGAGTCTGCTCAATAGAAACTGGCTAGCAATATGCAATCTAGTTCTGCGATTTCCACAAATGCATATAAAAAGGAAATATAAAAAACAATCAGCACTTCAGAAAAATTGTGGATTGACTTGTAGATTTCCACTAAATACCAAAAGCAATTAGCTACACATGTTAGGGAATTGAACTTGTGGGAGTTAACTTCCTAGCTATACCAAAGTAGTTAGGTCCAGAGATAATAAAAGGGGTAAAAAACATGTGAAGCTAGCTTCCGAAGAAACATTAAAAAAAGTTAGCTCCATATAATTGGGGTAGTTAGCTCCACATTTTACACGCATAAAAGTAAAAAAAATAACCTTGCATACACTTATATACAATGGAAAATTCATGCAACATAAAAAAATGTGAACAAGAGAGCATGGATACATTGCCCAACAAAAAGAGGATATAAGTTGAAACTGACCCCAAGTTTCCCGAAAACATAGGTATGGAGGTCTTTGCCTTTACAATGTCTTTCAGAAAAATTGAATTCAACATCATCTCTATGAGAAAATTTGCGCGCAGAGTCTCGATATGCATGATAGACACACTCTTCGATTAGCAACAATCAGGATACATTAAGACTAGGACTACTCCACAACCTTCTTGACCTGCTTGAATGATATTTGGATCTTGCCATATGATAGCAGCACGCTTTAACTCATCCACTACTAGCTGGCAAAAATCCATCGTTGCCATGTCGTCAAAGACAATACCATCTAGCATTGCCACGTCCTTGCCTACACGGACAGCAGGCCCTGGGCATATCACTTGGAAAATAGGATAGCGATAGAGACACGCGCCGCCGGCCGCGCCTCCCCTCCTTCCCCGCGCGCGTCCCCCTCTCTCCTCCTCCTCCCTACTGCCGTCGCCGGCGCCCGCCTCGGGCCTGGCCCGGGCGACGTTGGTGGCGGCGACCACCGGCCCTTCCCCGTCTAGGGTTTCTCCGGCACGGGACGGAGCGGCTCCGGGCGGTGTCTTCAGGCGGCGGCGGTCCTGCACGGTGGCGGGGTGTCCTGTCGCAGGCGGGGGCGAGCTATAGGCGGAGGCGCGCCGTTGGCGGCGGGGCAGCGCGGCGGCGCGGGCTGGCGGCGCCCGCCCGGCCCAGATCTGGGCCTTTCGGGCTCCATCTCGGTTGGGGCGGGCCGACGACAGGTGTGGCGTCGGCGTGGCCTTCAGGAGGCGGTGGCGAGCGGCGATGATCGGCGGAGTGCTGGCGGCGTCGAGGCCAGCTTGCTGCAGCGTTGCAAGGGGTGGCCTGGTATGCCCGGCCGCCGTGTCCGGATGGCTACCGCGATGGTGCCGGAGGCGCGAGCCTCCCGGACGGCGGCGGTGGAGATGGTTCCCTCCCGCTCGGCCTTGATACTATTGCTCCCGTCACTCATATCTTCTCTCCGGTCTTCTTGGCCTCGTGGTGGTGTTCGCAGCGAGACGGTATTGGTGGCGGCGCAACCTTGATGGCGCATAGTCGGGCGTTGGTTTGGCTGGTCGGCTCCGATTGGCTGGTGGGATTTGGCGTGCAGGAGAAATCCTTGCCGCTTCGCCCGGCTCCGATGCGGTGACACCGGCAGGTGCCACTATCCCTTCTTGGAGGGTGTCGGGAGTAGCTCTCCACCACCTCCCTCCGCGTACTGGGGGAAACCCTAGGACTTGTCCGGGCAGCAGCGTTGGCGGCGTCGCATCCCTTCTTGGAGGTGCTGCATAGTTCGCGGTAGATCGGAGCCTCGGGCTGTGGTGGTTTGTTTTCGAAGGGCGCAGCAGTCGCGGCTCTTCCGCGCTTTGTCGAGCTGCCGCTGTTGGCATTTTTTCTTCTTCTTTTTCTTTGGGATTGTTGTGCTGCTCACCCCAGCATTGCGATGTGTACAGTGGTGGTTTTCTTTGGAATACAAAGCGGGGGAAAACCCTTTTTCGGTAAAATAGGATAGCAAAAAAGAACATTTACAACAAGGTCGCCTTTTGACTCGTCCACAACAAGCTGCTTCAAGACATTTCTCAAATCTTTTTTGCTGAAACCCAATTCTGCCTTAAATCTAGCCATTGACTCGTCATGGCCACTATTAGCTAGCCTGAGTTGTGTCGTCGCCCATGGGGAACTCAAAAGCCTGTTGTACCACTTCTCTGTGGACTATAAGCACTTTATTAGGACCACGGTCATTACGCACCGTGGCTGTGTCAATTTTCTTCATCAAGTGGCACATGAGAAGAGATGTAACACAATGCCATTCAAAACCCAGTCGAATAGAAATCCTAGACCAGCCTGACAGATAATGTCTTTATGTCGTGTCTCAAGTAGAGCACCATCCTCAGATACCTCTCCCAAAGAACAACGAATTGTTAAATAGATCCTCTTAATAGCACCGGCATTGGACGCCACAGACTTTGCGATCTTCTTCTTTGGACCACTAGTAGCAAACTGATCCCGAGGCTTCCTAACAGCGAACTATCAGGAAAGAAAAGAATGCAGTTAGCTTGCGCCACGTCTTGACCGTTATCTAAAAACACAAAAACAGCAAAAGAAAAGAGGAATAGATCAAACTAAAAACAGGGTAGCACACATACATTATTTCCATCGAGCCTAGTGATATCAACAGATGGCCTTGCCCATTCACCTCCAGCATCTGAGCCCTCAAAAAAACAAGCACGCTTTCCACCAAGTTTAACACTCGGAGCGACCTGGTCTTCCACCAAACCACTGGCAATATGTAGACTCAGACGCGGGGATGCAACAACAATCTTAGTGGATACACCACTGACAGGTTGAGTGTCGCGACGGCTGTGCCTAATTTTTGAAATAGTAAACAGGTGCCTCCCCTGGCTAGAACATAATTCAGGGATGCCATCACTGGCCAAACCCAGACTTGCAGGGTCATTCTGACTTTTACCAAGATCGCCATGTATACCGTGCTGCATATCTCTACTATTAAAGGAGAATCGAACGTCGTGATGGTTCCACCTCCATCAACCCTCCCTCCTATCGCTAGCTCTCCCACCCACGTCCTCCCACCGATTTTTTTCAATCCCTCTGAAAACCCGGGACAAGTAAACAAGGGGAACCAAGCGGTTCAATCAGCACCTTCCTCCCCACCTTGTACGGTCTACACAGCAAAACCAGCACACGATCGAGCCTGCTTTTTTCGCGTTCAATAGGCGCTTTTGCCACGATCTACCCACCCGAAGCCCACGCACAACACGTCCGTCTCTCCCACCCTGTACTTCTTCCCAGCCGCAGCCGCCGATCTGCTCTCATGCTGCCACACCGATCTGCTCTTCGTTCTCCTTGACATGGTGCCGAGCTCCTCCGCACACCTGCTCCCCGTGCCGTTGCGGCACCGGCAGTGCATGCTGCTGCTAGGTTCGGGTACATCGTACGCGATGCGACCTTCGCTGGTGTGCAACCAACGACGAGCCAGCGCGCCGTCGTTGTCCCCTTCCACATGGGCCGACCTGGACGGAAGGCTGCTGATCCGCCAGGCGGCGACTTTCACCTCCACTGGCGCACCCTCCTCGACTGAGAGGCGACGGCTCGACTTCCTCTGATCTGGTGGTAGGACGAAATCCCTTACTCTCTTGCTTCTATGCTTGATTTGGTTTTGTTTTTGTGCTGATCTGGTTTACTTTGATGGGCGTTTTGAGTTACTTGCATGTACGAAATCTTTTCCTCTCTTTAGATAACTGATGATCCAACCCTTGTACTCACGGTTCAGTATAAAATTGTAGAGGCAGTGTACATGGTGATAAGTATTCTATGTTTTCTTTTCTATTGATACAACAATGATGTATGATTATTATATGGCGTCCAAATGAGGCATCTGATTGTAAGATGATGTGTTTGTGAAATGCGAGCAGTAGCCAGTACATATTTTCCTCTTGTGATTTTGATAGCTCGGTGATGGCGGGCGAAGCAACCAAGCATCGACACACATCCTAACCAATTCGGTTTCGTGTCATCTCGGATCTGACTAATTTTCTTCTTATTCTGCATGAAGTTCTAATGGATTAATATTCTTGTAGGTTGATTTGAATCCTCGGGTATGTGGTTATGCATGAGTTGTGGAAGCAAAGGTGTGTGTTGGCTGGAGCTCATTTATGGGGCTGTAATTTGGATGGTACAAACCTGTAATGATACTGACTCCCACTCAAAATTTCACTGCACCAAAGGCTCTTGTAAGTGCTTGACTTTGTTTCTTCATACTACGCGATATAATACATACGGGATGTGAAATTAGTAATTACCCTTAAATATTGTTTGTACTGGATTGCCAAAATTAGATTTATTTGTTTCTCTCTCCTGAGCAAATTTTTATAACACTGCTACTCAAATATAACTTGTGTTTCTCTCTCCTGCATTTTTGCATCGTCCTCCATACAAAAAAATGATGGGATTTGGTCCAAGTGACAACATACAAGACCGTAACAATCAGCCTGTTTTAATTTACTGAAACTGGATAGACGCTAGACAGAGACGTGATTATCCTTGGTATCACTAGTAGAAAAGGGGAAATTCAGTACTAATACCTCCCGGTTCATGAACCAGGACAAATGGATCGTTACTAATACCTCCCCTCTTTAGTCCCGGTTCAAACACAAACTGGGACAGATGTGCCTCCACGTGGCAGGTGCGCCGAGCCCAGGCAGGGGGGCCTTTCGTCCCGGTTGGAGGCACCAACCGGGACCAAAATGCCTCCACGCGTCAGCATTCCAGTGGCTG